AAATTAGTTTTACAATAAAATAATGTAAAAGCCTACCAAACGGCGTACAAGACTATTTATTTTAGCCAGATGCCAAAAAAAGTCCCGTCAAAATCAGTGCAACCATTTCAGAGATTAGCCGGAACAAACAGACAGACAGACAGACAAAATTGGTAAAAAATGTTATTTTGGTGTATGTAACGTATTTATATTTGTATGCATGTAGTAAAAAACTGTTATTTCAATATTACCAACAAACACTCCAATTTTATTTATATGTATAGATAATGGGAGTGCCCCATTTTTATTTATAAATAACTACGAAATCAAAATAATGTTAAATTTGTTTATATTTTCTTAACCATTTCTTTACATTAATACTAAAAGTTTTTTTATCATTTTTAACAATTAATTGTCACTACTTTACAAATTATGACTTAGTATTACATTCGTAATATGTACAATAAATCATTACTAACTGTAACTTAAATACAGTAATTGTTAAATGTAAAATTAGTAACTGTCACCCGCACCATACTATAGCGTACGCTATAATATGGTGCGGGTGACGAAATAATTTACGATTTGATAGCGCGCGTTCTCAGGCGAGCTATCCGCGCTAAGCACAGGTCCGACGTTGGCAGGGGCCTGGGACTGACTGACTTGCTCTAACTCTCATACAAAACAACTTGTGAGCAAGAGATTTTTATGCGGAAAAACAGTTTATCTTGTTTAAAATAAAAACTATTGGTTATTATATACATCTGAATTGTACTATTTATGTGGGTATTTAGTATAGTGTGTATTGGAAAATTCGAGTCTTAAATCAGTCCCGTTTTCTTATACGAATCAAACATATATTTTATAAGACCAATCTTTGAGATTTTTTTCTCTGCTACAAAAGTTAATCAATCATGTAACGAGAACTGTCAATATGATGTCAAAGATCTGAAAAATGAAATACCTAAATATCAGCCCCGAATGATTTGTAATTGCTGAGAAAAGTTAAGGTATCTGAGGTCAATATTTGCAATGCGTCGCCTTAATCATCTAATCTAGGGGCTGGTATATAATTAGATATATAATAAATACACGTAAGTCAAATAATAATATAAGGAACGAAGAGAACATAGATGTGATATAATTAAAACATGTTAAATTATTATTGTTATGATCATCCGTATAGAAGCCCAAACAAATACCACTATAGTAATAATACCCCTCGAGACAATTAGGATATGTTATAACAAAAACTCGTTCACATACAAGAGCCATCTAATTATGAGCACTAAAAACAGTTATTTTAATCTTTAATCAGTTATCTTCGGATATTTATCTATATCTGTCACGGAGAGCGTCTGAAACTGGTCGGAAAAGATATTAAAAATTAAATGATCATTATATAAATACCTACCTCGATGTAAAACTCAAATTAAGTGGAACACTTAGATTCGATTTAATGCTATTTATAACTACGCTTATTAAGTGGTTACAAATGAATATAAAAAAATAATAAAATTACTAAAAAAAATAAGTAAAAAGAAATTATATCTAAATTGCAAATCGCGTTGACTGTATTATAGAGAACGAAATTTAAATTTGTACTCGTACACCGACTCATTTACATGTTATTCGAGCAACAAACCCTAGGGGACCGTATCAGCCATTTATGAGTTGAAAGTATTAAAGAAAAGAAAACTCAATAGATATAAAAAGATAGGTATAATAACAAGAAAAAGAAGCCGCGTGCAAGAAAACGGCTCGCGGCGAATAAGCCCCGCGGAAAGCGGCATTGTTCCGCGACTTTTTAAAACGGAACGAAATGAGCGAGGGGAAGGAAATCGGATGAAAATATGAAAGAATACACGTTATGTACGTAAAAGTGAAACGAAACGTCGGAGATCGGGTCTCAGCCGCGCGCGGTCCGCAAATATAATTTGCATAGTCAAGTAGCCCAACTTTTGTCTGCAGCGGATGTTCGCAACAATATTCGTTCGTTGCTTTTTAACCACACTCATTCTGTATCGGACCAAGCTTTTTTATTGCATTTTTTCCCCTTTGAACGGATTCCTTCAATATTTCGGTGGTTCGTTTTTATTCATACGCTCGGTCATCGAATTGTTTCGCTTCATATCACACGCTTTGTTGCGTTCTGTTAATTCTTGTTTCTATGCGATTGTTTTTATTGCCACTGTGTATCGGGGAATCCAGTTGAATAATCTCTTAACGGTATATACTTCTAGACATAGGAATATAGAATAGAATAGAATAGGAAATCATTTATTCAAATAAACTTAATTTAAGCACTTTTGAATAGTCATAGGATAAATATTAAGTACTTTAGTTCTATATAGGCTGGATTTATTAATATATTCTCATTAGTATCTTTGGTATCTTGATATGTGACAAATAGAGACGTCTCCATTTTAATAATAATGTTATATATTTAAATACACTTACAATATACTATTTAATTTAAAAAGTATTAGACGGAACAATACAACGATTAACATAAAATCAGTCGTTCAAGTACTTTGATATCAAGAGTATTGCCGGCATTAATGAGGATAACAAAAGAGAATACTCTTTTTTTTTGTTCAGCATCTGCATTGAATCGAATTAAATAATCGATTGGAGATTTATTACGATTCATCGTCTCTTATGAACTTGTGAGTGAGGAGGCAATAGGCCGGATTAAGGCTCACAAAGCGGCGCCGACGAGATATCGACAAATATTGACTCGTAGAAACAATGAGAGCCGACTGGAGCTCCTGCCGCCGCGCGCTCTATTGTAACGTGGGCAGACTTTGATTGACGCACCGGTTTGGTTGCGTACTCTATTAATAAAATGTATAAATCTTATCTATGATACCACATATCACCAGAAATACGCAACTATAGACTGGAAGTTTAAAATTTGCGTACATTGAAATATCGCTTACACGTTACTAGACAAGAAAGGTGGGATGAAAAGGTCCAAAAATAAGCTTCAGTCGAGTGAAAAACTGTTTTCCAGAGGTGTTGGACTGAATCGATGTTCGAACTCGATGGTCCGACGAATTTTCCACTGAACGGACCTTTGGACGCAGACCTTTGTATTGACGAGAAATTAACTGAAAAAGGACCTTTTGCATCCTAATTTTGTTAGCAAAGAAATTATGAACGGTCATGTACAACATTTCAATAATGTCACCGACCGTTGTACACCTTTTAAATAAAACGATCTAATGCACACAACTTTCTAAACAAAAATATACTTACGACACCAGAACTAGAAGAGGCAGTCAGTTTAATAATAATAACACACATATTAATATACAAATATAAATATTGATAATATTACTGGTTAACCACTTTTCCAACAAGTAGTAATAAAATAATATAAATTCAATATAAATCACACATAATCAAAATTTATATAGTTATTGAAACAATAATAATTTCCAATATAAAATGTAACAAAGTTTAACGTCAGAAGTAGTAAGCAAATGAGCTAATAAAAAAAAACCTTGCAAATCTATGCATTAACGCGACTTTCGATCCGGTCGTCATTATGAGTCTGTGTCGGAGGTCGTGCCCATGACAAATGATGCGTAGGAGTCGAGAATCGAACGCTAGCGAACCTTGCCCGTTTCATTACCAACAACATTAATTACTAGCAAATCATTAATGAGAAACCAACCTCTTTTTTCGTTTTCGCATTTCTGTTACAATTGTTAATTTTCTTTCCATTCCGTTGTTGCAAATTACATAAAAAATCAATATTTAAACAACTTTGAAGAAGAACATTGTCGATTAATGTTAATTTTATGTTACTTATGACATCTTTACCAATTCTGTACTCGCGTTTTCAATCTGTTAAAATTATGAAATTGAAGTCAGAACTTTTGCCAAATTAATAAATCTTAAAATGTCTATCTTGTTATAGTTGTCTTTTCCATAAAGTCGATGAATTATCCTCGCCCACATCGGATCGGGAACGGACTCCATCAAAATTCTATCTTATACCATCACAAAACTGATCTCGTGTATTACGCCACGGTTCAAGTTATACGATGCAGCGATAATTCCTAAATATACAAATACTACATCCATGGAAGATTATTTATGTGAAAATAGTTATATAAGCTTTTATCCCTATTAAGATGGTTTAGGTTACCTAAATCATCCTTAATAATTACTCATTTGTAGTATAGACAATACTGTATATTATATTTTTTCTGTACTTCAATTATGCTGTATGTTTGTAAATTATGAATAAATAATTTATCTATCTACCTATAATGATTTAGTTTAGGATAAATATGAACATATTAAAATATTCTTTATTGTGATAAATATTGTTAGAGGATTAATATAAGGCATAAATAATAATAAAAAAATATTATTTTCATATTATTATTGCCTATTTTAATAATATCCGACAGCTTATGCCCTAATCCCATTTCCGTTCCGCCCCCGCCTCGTCGGAGGCAGGACCCGTCTATCAACACGTGCACCGACTCAATCATTCGTCAATCAAACCTCAGAGTAAAGAAGATGGTAATATAATAAATCTATATGCAAGAAAGAGAAATATCGTGCTGGACTATCGGACGATTATCGACGAAGAAATGCCGAAACGAAAGGTGGTAACTGCAGGCGAATCAAGGAGATTCCTTGGCCGTATTATAAGATTGTTTTCAGATAAAGAAAAGGCAGTTGTCATAAGAGTGAGCGAGATAGACTGTGGGTAATTTTCAGGTTTGATATCCACGTATTTATGCGTATACCTACATTCATTTGGAGAAGTATGGCGCACGAGGCATGTGCACGACCGTACACTCAGTTTTATTGTGGCTGCGTGCGGTATTCCAAGTACCTAATTGTTATTTCGATACGGTACAACAGAGGTGAAATTTGTGATTCTATAAATATTAATGATCGCTCTTGGGAACCTTAAAACTTTTACGAATATACATATATAACTATAGTATGTAACTTAAATAATAATAATGCTAATAATATAATTTTGTTCGCAGTGATGTACCAAAAACGGCTAAAGAAGGAGCGAAAACAACGCCAACACGTTCAAGAACAGCTAGAGATGGAACTGAAAAGACGACAGAAGATCGAAGAAGCCCTAAAGCAATCGGGAGCACCGTCAGAATTACTCAGAATTGTTACTGGTTTGTATTTTGCTTTATTGGTCATAATATAAACAGTTTAGAAAAATTTAAGTTAATTTTTTGTTAGGGAGCAAAACAGGAAATATATTACTTTCATTAAACGCTCATTTTGAACTTGGCTAGGTCTAAAATAAAAATAAAAAGTAAAATAGCTGGTGTCTGCGACTTTTTAACTAAAAGATAGTCTATGTTCTTTCTCGTGGTACTATTTATAGTATCGTAAAATTTTATTAAAATCAGTAGTGAAAATACAATAAAGAGATAGAAACACATTGGCATTTATGGTATGGATTATCTTTAATAATAATTAATAGCTAATTTTACGAAATTCCAATCTCTGTAACATGTCAAAATCGTCAATGCCATCACTCTCAGGGTATTCAACAAGTTCTAATACAAACTGTAAGTATGTGCTCCTGACATGTTAACTTGCCGTCTGTCAAACTATCTGTACATTGGCGAAAACTTCACGAGTGTACTTACGAAACGAGTAATCGATACATACAAAGTTCAACTCTAACCAATCTGTTTAGAATTCCTTTTTGATTTCTGATGAGGGTGATATGTTACTTTATTAGCCGTTAAGTTCATGTGGAGTGCGTGATGTAAGAAGGGTGGATAAACGCTGGTGAAGGCTTGTACTAATCTCCGTGTCAGGAAATCGTTTCGCAGACCATTTGAAACGGGGGTTCGGGTGCTGAACTAACACGCATTCGTGTTCAATTTCTTGCATAATCACACTAATAATAATAGCACTGCCATGAGGTTCAAACGTAAATATTATTTAAAACTCATAGGCAAACGCAATAACAGTCGTTTTCCTATAAAGAGACAGACTATCATGACCACAAAAATGACAAGTACAAAACAGATGAAATAGGTGAATTCTTTTGTCCCTTAAACAAAGAATAGAGATAAATTTTTAGCAGTAGATGGTGCATAGTATGAAATCAATGGTGATAAAAAATTATGATTTGGTGATATGTATTGATACATTCCCGAATATTTTTTTTATATCTAAATTATATATTCTAATCTAATAACCTCAATCTTGCCTATAGAAACCCTAACAACGCCCTCATCGCAAGAGACGCCGCGTTCTGAACGCGAGAACGGCTCGGAGAGTAAACCTCCGAGCGCGGAACCACCTGCCTCCTCGCCACCGTTCCAACGAGACCCCCCTCGTACGCCCGATAAGCCACAATGGAACTACCCCCCACCACCCGTGGACATCATGAGTGGAGGTGCCGCGTTCTGGCAAAACTATTCCGGTGAGTACAATGTGCATCTAAAAATTCTAAATTAAATAAACTTATTATATGCTTTAATAATAGAAATTATTAATTAACTATAAGAAATCGAAAATGTTGTGCCACATAAAATAAAACAATGTATATGTCAACAAAATGTTCATGAAAGAATACTTTTATCTACTAAAAGTATGTTTAATATCAAGGAAAATAAAGGTTTAATAAACATTAACATTTTCCGCAGAATATGCAGTATTAATATTGACCGTGGCACACATTAACATTGTCTCTTTGATTAATTATTTCATAAGGCTTATTTTGTTCTTAAAGATAAAGAGTTAGTTATTATATTTGACATAAAATAAATCAGTATCAGTAAATTATGTTAATCGTACGACCCTCACTCTGAAACATACATCCAAAACTGCAATGTATATTTATGTTATTCTGTAAATATTACAAAAAAATACTCAATTTGATTGAAAAAATGTACAAAAGCGGTCCATACGAAAAATTTTGACGTACGAAATTTATATTCAACTTATTGCATACCGTTTCATATGAAGAATTCGTACAATTTAAAAGGTCGGAATAAACGATTCGACAGATCAATGTTTGTACTGTGATATATTGCCATAATATTACGGATGAGATTGTATAGTAAAATAGACATCACGGATATTTCATTTCAATATGAATAGTATTTTATATAAAACATTTTCATTCATAAAGTTGGAGATGTGAAAAATTGTACTAAGTTTTTATAGATAAAGTTAAAATCATTAAAAAACGAACACACATTGGACTACTTATGCACGTCATATAAACATAAATAAATTGAAGGAGGGTTTCCTTTACTGGTAGATGTTTGTTAAGCGAGATGACGCGGATTTAACTATCTTATTTACCTTTGTTAACTGTATCTTCTTTCTTTATTTTATTACATATGATAAAATTGTAACGAGAACAAAACTGTATTTTTATGTGTTGAGGTTTCACGTAAAAACTGAGGGAGGGACAAAATTTTCAGCAAACATTTTTGAATAATATTGTTAATATTTTTAATACGACTCCTACAATATAATATCTAATAACAATATATGCTTTATTAATTGTTTGCGTTTGATTATCAATATATGGCGAGTTATAAATATGTAAACGCGTATGTAATCGCGGCCAATTCACATACATACATAGATTAATATCGATTCATCTGTTAATAATCAGTAAGATTATCTTATAAACACTGTACTTACAATATGACCACAATGAAATCCTATACAGAAATATCGAATTAAATACACTTTATGAACTTTTAGACGACGTGAACACACATGAACGTCGGCGAATGAAACCGTTCGCTTTTTTGTTCATATCGGCTTTGTGGAAAGCCCAGTAATTTCATTAAAATACACTGGCGAGCATGCGGTGCCGTATAGTATGACGTATACTGATTTACCTTGTATTGACTTGTCGACTAAAAACATGCATTCTAATATGGGCTTGCATCAACTTAGTTTCATTTAAACTAATGCTAATAATTTAAAACTTAAGAAGAAATTGTTACAACTAAAATGATACTATTTTTGACAGTCTTGATATTACAGCAGTTTAGCACAACACGTTATTTCCGATTGCCATGGCTGTGATTATCGCATTGTATAAATAATTGTGTAGATGAGTATGATTGTTTATATTGGTTAAGGTGTTTTCTATGTACATATAAAATACAATAATAACAATATATATTGTTATGTATATATTTACAAAAGAAAGAATTTATATATATCTGTCAGTTGTATCCACATTACAAGCTTATTCTCGGTTGAAATCTTTGTAATGAAAAAATAAAGCCTGTACTTACCATATTTATATATTTTTAATAAGAGAAAATCAACATAAAGTACAATACGAATGCAATAATTTTTCAGTCTAGTGACGTTTGACGACGGTTGGCATTTCAAGTAGAAATTGCAAATTGGAACTAATTTAAGCGTTACCCTACGCCAAGTACCTAAAGGCACGCGAGCACGCGAGTAAGAGTTGGTCGTAACGGTTAGTATTCACAATTTCGGTTAAAGTCTTAAATTGAGAAAAATGTACTTGAAATATTATCGTATTGTCAAAACTGAATAATTGTAGTTATTATTATTCAGTTATAAAAAATATATAAAGGATCGAGATGTATATTGATATGGAGTAAGTACTAAATATTATCGTAAATGTAAATATGAAACATAGAAGAGGGTTGTAAACATAACAAGGTTGGTAACAGATAAACAAAAATTAAAACTTGGGAGCCTTTTATCAAGTTTCTCTCGGTGCTGACGCTGAAAGAAAAAAATTTTTATTCGTAAATTAGAAAACTTCTTCGTATTTCTTTAGCAAAAAAGAGTCAAATATTATATAATACCTAAAAGATAACATGGAATATTCATTGCGATGATTATATAAATTTAATATTACATTTAATCACTTTTGCTTTTTAGTACTAAACTAAATGGTATAATTAATTATTAAACTATTTTTGTATGTAATTAGAATGGCAAACAAGCTGATGGTCCACATGGTAACAACAAGTGATAACCGCTGCTTGTAAACATGAACAGCACTATATAGACATCACATTATCATGTGACACCCACGATACCACTCATGCGTTACTATTCCGGGGGACAAAGATGTCACAACTTTTATCCTATAATTTTATTGCCTAGTCTCATCTAGACCAAAATCAAAACAGCTTACAAATCAAACTGCTTGGCTGTCGAAATAGGTGAGACAGAAAATTCTTTACCGTCTCTATACGACAAGTGACAGATTAAACTCACGTTTAGAGTTCTTAATATCTAAAAATACATTACCCAATATTATATCATTTTAAGGTGCACCGTGGAGACGGATAAACCAACCGATGTTACATAAGTAATATAAAGTTGAAAAATTAATAAAGAGGAAACTTCTCCAAGGTACTTTTTAGGTGAGCTTGTAAAATGAATGGAAATAAAATTGTACCGCACAGGTGCGCTTGAAACCTTTGACGATATTAACTTTTTTTGTTTATATTGAAGTAATACAGCGAGCGCACCATTGTACATCGTAGATATGCTATCGTTTTTTTACTTATACAGTCAGTTTGTTCGTATTAATATAGACAGAAATTTATTTCTAAATTTTTAAAATGTACACTAATTAAGAACTTTTTTCTTCTAATTATTATTGGCTCTTCGCTGCCCCATATTATATGTAGTTCAAATTCGAAAAGGAACTCGACATTAATTTCTTAAAAGATAAAAATAATATTGTTTTAATTATGAGTATTTTATATAACATTAAGTTCGTTTCTGACTAACAAGTATTTATATTGCCTCCTATAAAATAATTACATACATAGGCATATAAAACAATAATAATTAAATCAATTAAAATATCAAAATCGCTTTAATTATTGTCTCAATTTTACTTAACACTACCATTGGTTCTAAATGTACCGGAGTCACGAAGAAATTGATTGTTAAAAAAACTTCTAAAGAATTTCTATAATAGAAAATCAATTCCATCAGTAAGATCAGACACGGTCCAATAGAGTTGCAACAGTAGCACCTTATCCCAACTATACTGTCCGTTTGTTCGAGATCTATTGTCAGAAAATCGGAGGTCTCACCTCACCTTACCTGACATTACGATCTTCCATTTAAAGGATCACAATAAGCTCTCTTAAATAATAATTTTAGCTGGCTATTTATGGGTGAAGGTTTTATATGTAACTTATTAAAATAAAAATATATTATTCAAAACTATGGACGCTTTTTATTCTCTTTTGAAAATTATATAATTAAAAACTTTAATTACAGTAGTTTAGTTTATATATAATTCAAAACTTCCTACCTACTATTTTTGCCTCATTTCGTCAAATGCAAACAATATAACTCATTTTTATATAATCTCCTGTGTTTAATTTGTAGGTTTTAATACACTACCCCAATATTTAACTACCTCAATATTCACAACCTTCTCAAATTCCCATTCAAAAAATTAATCATCCCGTTTTTTTTTTGTGGCTACACTTTTAACGGCCGTAATTAATTTCGCGTTAACAACCAAAGAGGTGTTGATTGCGTCAAAAATCATTAAAAAATAATGAGCAGTACTTTCTATTATTCCGACAGAGGTATTAAATGTCAGAATTATAACTTTTTGTCGAAGGAAAAATGTGATCTAGCAAGAAAATGTCATTATGCTTTCTCTATTCATGATAAGTTTTTATAATTCATAGCCAAGAGAAACAATTATTTCGATCTAAAAATAGCTTGGTGTCCGAGAATTGGTATTTCTTGCTTCGAATCTATTTGATAATAAAATTGATTCGTTTCTCTACAAATTAATCGATCGCTGACTTAATTCTATCTATTTTTTTTTTATTTTAAGTAACAGGAAATTTTATATTTTATTATAAATTTTATTTTTCTTATATTTTAGTATTTAACCAGTTTACAATATATAATATAGTTTCGGCATTAATTTTTAGTTCGATTACTATTACAGCATAACAATAGGTTATAACTTTTTGTTTGTGTATCGATTGGAATGAAAAAAAAACTAACTGTTACAGGAAGTTACTACAATATATAAGTAAAATACAAACAGACAAAAATGCGACGCGTTCACGAGTTTGTTTTTGATCGATAAATTTTAATTGTAATGTATGATTTAAAAACACCAAAATAGAGCTATTATAATGTTATTCTGCCTAAAAATGTTGGAATTGATTGGAGTGAATTTGGTAGCTTATTGTTTTGATTCTAATAAACAGTGATTACCGACAATAACTAATTCCTCGTCGACACGGAGTAGGTTATTATAAAGAGATAAAGTTTTATAAATTGGACTGTAAGAGATAATCTGCGAAACTACTCATTAGATTTTGAATTCTTACATAGTAATTTTGAAAGATCTTTATGTAGACATACCCGTAGGTTTATAATCTACGTGGGCGAAGCCGCGGACACAGCTTGTAATTGATATTTTAGTAGATGTCATTTTAGTTTTGTTTCATCTCAAATAAATCGACTCACGTCCACATCGTAGTATCCTTTTTTGTCACTGCCAACCCAACCCATTCATTTAAAATAAAGTAGGAATAGTTTTTACTACTGTTTTTGTGTAATCCCAATTCTCAGATCTTAGTGAAGCAGCAATGATATCAACAAGATACACCTGACATCAAAACGAATTTATAAAACCTCTTTTCGTAATTTCAACATCGTTGTAATTGAATATTTATTTAAAGGAAAGAAGATAAAACGAACATAAATGTATTTTTTTTATTAAGCCAAGCGCCCGACCATTATAGTTATTTCAAAGAACAAATAGATTATGGCTCTCAAAGGAACCGGCAATTCTGTTTTAGAAGCGGCAAATGCAAAAATATTACGTATTCAAACAGACCTAATGGGACATTTAGGGGTGGCACTGAAGTGAAACGGCAAAGGCCGAAGCTTTTAAGTGTATAATATTTAATTGTGACGCCCTAGGCGTATAATCTCGCCCGGGATAATAGGTTTCTGTTTCGGGACAACCCTCAACGGCGACACTTGTGAGTGTGATGCCCTGCAGCAAGTCTCCACTGAAACAAATCGGATTATAATTGGATCTTTTATCTGATTGTTTTTATTTTAAATCATGGCTTTAAACAAGCAACAACACGACTACAGGATCATACTGCTGACTTTACAGTTTTCATTAATTTGTATAAGAATACGACAATTTTAAACGCTCATATAGCATAAATTATAAACGAATGTTGAGAAAAGAAATTGAATTCTCCGTTGAGAAAATGTTCCATCAAAGTAAGCAAAAAAACGCGATTCCGTTTATATCTTTTATATCTCGTAAATTGCAGGAGGAGGCAAGCGTTGCATGAAATTGAATAAGCATATTTCGTAAAACGTCGACGTTTTGGGAGACAATTGCCTTACCTCACCTACTCTTGCCCCTTCACGAACTTTGTCAATTTTCTTAAAATCTTATTAGAGAATCTTCTGTGCTTGAGAATTATTCCTATTTTTATGTGCAACATCATCTTAATTTGTAAATATCATTTTTATTATTTTGTTACAGTCTACCAATATATGAAAGTTAGTCAAATATAATTAACCATTTTAAAATTACACACATGTTGCAAAACAAGAAATATAATTAATTTGAATTATAATATTTGCTTCATTACTAATTGTATTTCTCAAATTAATAGTCAATGTACCTGTATATGATGCCTTATTTTAATTATTTTGTATTACAATAATGTAAGTCGGAATATAACAACCCTTCTCGAGGCAATTTAATAAACTCGCGCTATATTGCGAGTGGTACGTTTTTACCGACAGGGAATATAGGATATTAAATTAGAAAGTGCCATACGGATGTGAAGTCCGTTTGATGTGAGTTGCCTTTACCCGACACACTAATGACATTTTCCGGGACGGCACACTTGTACTCAAGCTCTGTCAATTTGAACAATATAATTACTACAGTTATTTAGTGAAATAATATTTAATTAGATTCTCGATATAAATGACGTACTAACGTAATGAACTGTGACGATAAAATATTTGTTTATCATTAATTTAATAGAAAATACTAATTAACGTTAATCTATTTGTCAACAGAGTCATTGGCCCAGGAATTGGAGATGGAACGCAAATCGCGCCAACAAGCCATGGAGCGTGACGTAAAAAGTCCACTGTCCGAACGCGCCGGCTACTACAAGAACTCGGTGCTCTTCAGCTCAGCTACTTAGCTACCAAACACCGGGGCGAACGACTTCCCCGACAACCAAGAATATGATAAAGAAGTCGACGAAACGAGAAAACCTATAATCAGCGTGAAACCTGAATTTAGGGAAAAATGAAACCCAAAGATTCGGTGCGGATCAAACATTAGGAACCTGGATCTCTTACGGACTTCTAAAGAGGAATGCTCAGTCTCGTTTGTGTAAATTGTTCAATCTTGTTTATCTGTTTTTCTGGCGTTACGGATCTCAATGAAATTGTACTTCCTTTATTGAGATTAATTTGTAAATATTGTTACGATATATAGAAGTAAGAACGTAGATTTCGTGGTACATGGCGAAGTCTCATTGACTCTTCTTCCATAGTGAAATTTGTAAATATTTCTTATAATTATTAATTATAAGTCAATAACGGTTATATCGGCGATTCGAGTTATTTAATATGTCAACATTTTAATATTTTATAAAAGTACCTTTAAACTTATCATTAAATGCCATATTTATGTATTAAGCATCGATATTGTTTACTTTTTGTAAATGTATAAAGTTTTAGCGTTCCTGATTATTCATAATTTGTACCTACGCACATATCAGCATCATTTTAAACGAATTTGAATAGAGGATAATATTGGAATTGATATAAGACTTTACGAGAACTTTTTCTGAATTTCAGAAAGAGTATAAACGACATGTTCCGGTATCATGAAATGTTTCCAAAACGTCGATTAAATTGCAAATAAGTAGGTACACTACATTTTACAAGTAACTGTATATAGAATTGTTTAATATTACTACGGTGATTTTCACTGTCGTATAATTTATTCAAATTAGTGCAATGAGTAGATGTAACTAAAGGTAACTAGTGTGTCTCATAAACAATAAGAATGTACGATAGTTAAGTTAGTGGTTTCAAAATTATACATTTTTATAATTACATTTTATTGACTGAACACAGACAACTGTTTATCCTGTTTTGCAATGTACAATGTAATCTAAGTGTTTTCTTTACATTTCATTACGTAGATGCTGTGTAAATAATTATTAACCGCGTACTTCGTATCCATAACGCATAGTCGATGTGTATGGGTAGTGTCCTTACTATAAGTGCATTAGTTTTAAATATATACATAATAAAGTATAAAATAGTGTTATTTATATTGATGCTTAGTTTACTGAACGACTTTGAATGTCTAAAATAGTTAATATAAGATTTAGAAATTGTATTTGGCGTAATATTGGCGCTTGGCTATTAAACTATTGCAAGTAATGCAGACACATTTTTTGCCCATAAATATCTTGGATTCATTACAAATGTGTTAAGTATGCTATCGTCGAACGATCTTAAAGTCAATTGAGGCCATGTAAGAAACGAAGTGCGTAATAGTCTAGCGCCGATCGTAACGTTCGCTTTATACAATCAAAATCACATTACTTCTAACGAATAATGTGACGTAATGATTAAATTTAGTTGTTAATATAAATGTTTAGCTGAACATGTGTGGTTGTGTAAAGAGAGTGAATGTGGTACTTTTGTATCATTTACATTTTTTCCTGCAATATCCTTTGACAATATTCACAACTGGGCGTTTGACATCCACAATTTATTATCATGACCATCAAACTCAGTGTCGTCTATAGTAGATATAATTACGTTTATCAGCCGAGGCTTCTTATTGTATCTATATTTATTATAATTTGATTATAGTTCGCAATCTTGAATGCAAGTATTATTATTTATTATTTTTATTATAATTACTATTAATTTACTTAAAATTGTGTGTGTGCCTTGTATCGTAGATGAAAATATTGAGATTAAAAGTGAAAATTATCATTTTGTGTTTCTATTTGACCAAACCGTAAGTAAGCCTAAAAAATTATTTTTAATTAATTTTGAGGTATAAATATCATTCGTCTGTCCTCGTAATATCTATCGCATCAAATTTCATTAGGATACTTTCAACCAGTTAGGCGTAAAAAAGTAACAGGCAAATAAACAGAAAGAAAAAGAGATACATATTCACATTTTTAATATTAAAATAGACATATAGGTTAATATGAATGGAGAACTCTTAAAAACTCAATCTTCGATGTATGTACTTTCTATAGACAGTTTCTACACAGTGTGGTCTCTATTATATTCAAATCCTATGCTTTTGCATTCCCAATGCATTTGGAGTGAGTTCTGCAGTAAAAGCACTGGGTCTAGACTGTCGTTATTATCAGAAAATGTAATAAGAGCTAAGTCAGCTGTTCATAGCACTGACTATTTACAGTACAGACTTTATACATATCTATGAGAACAATAGTAGACACGATACTTTCAACGTCGACAATGGGAGGTCTGTACCACTATAGAAACTGTGGTTTGATTGAGTATTTTACATTGAATAAAAAGTCTGGCTTTAGTCATATTTGGGAAGTTCAAAGGCCAGACACAATATATTTTTCCTTCAGCTTCTTTTCACTGCGACATAGCATGTTGCACAAATACAGAATTGGATAAATTCTATGATTTCTGAAAATATATGAACTCCAAGCAATAGTAATTTTTCTATTTTTAATTTACATAATAATTTCTAATTTCCTAATGAGTCAAATGAATAAAAAAAACTGGCAGGCTATTTCCAAAAGGCTAAAGCGTGAAAAATTCAAATTAGAAGTAATTCAATATTCTATAATAATATATTTTTTAATAAACTACCACTATATAGGTACAGGTTTTTAAATTATCTATATAATATAAGCAATTTGTGATTCTATGAATCTGGGAACTGAACTAAGTACGAGGCCTCGTCTCCTGAGACCAGAACTCACCCCTCGTTTGCGCTGTTCTACAAGGGTTTATATAATACGACAATTCCTAGATTTGACATAACCCAATAAACTATTACCTAGCTACCTAGGACCTAAAGTTGTTTTGGCAAATAAAGTTGTCTTAGTTTAAAAAATATGTAGTAAATCTTTTAATGGACTGATGTGACGTGCTATAATTTTACGAATATCAATTTCAATAGTAAAATTCGCAAAAATATATATAATTAATGTACCATGTGTATTGGAATTTGGAAATAATGGTGAGTAATAGTAGCAAAATACGATGCCCTAAATTTAAATACTGGATACTCAAAGAGAGCACTATTTGTACTGTACAGTCACATGTACTAAAAAGATTTCAATTGTTTTTGCCGGTAAATTGACTTTTATGTAAATTAGGAATCTAATATTCCTCTTTAATCTTGTACTGAAATCCAGAGACCGGACAATCAGAAGTAAGTATATACTCTATTTTTAAACAAATTATTAACACTACTTCTGTTCTGATATATATATATATATATTATTTACTGTTCGTTCATTGACTTATTTTATAAGGTCAATAGAAATAGTCAATTCTAAAATAGTACTCAAGTGGCTGGTGTCCCAGCTAAGATTATCGCTTCAAAGAATTGCTTATTAATTCAAGTATATACTTATTAGCTAGGGCGACCCTGGAATCATTAGCAATGGCCAACATACGGCCTCATTGCTAGCAATGTACCTTTACAAGAATACCCCCGGAAACCGTCGTAAGTGAACCAACCATCGGAACCACTACTATGGGCCACCCTTCCTGACTCCTTCATAGCATATCATCATTTTTTTTCTCGCCAGCCTGTACAAGAAGCCTAGACAAGTACACAATTCTTTAGTCATCTATTAAAAAGTATTTACTAGCTTCAACATATGTATTTTTACTATACTTATTACCTCAACAAAGATGCAATAATTGTTAATTTAACTACTGTATAACACAATAGGTAATTACCATTTAATTCGAGTTGTAACGCAGTTATCACTTTATAAAATTTTTATTTGTTTCTGCCATTATTTTTTTTCTAACTCCTAACATCGTCAGACAATTAATCGACAAAAGTAATAAAACTACAATGCCATAAACCAGAAAGATCATAAGAACTTCCCGGTTTTATATTGGAGTTCCCTTGCGCTCGATCGCCGTTTTAAATCCTGTGAAATCGGAAAACTTCATATTTATTGCTAATAGATTTTCGGCCGATGAGCACCGAGTTATTTGGGATGCAATTTTATTTTGTCCATATGAATGATTTTTGTATTTGCCCTAAGGGCGTACGTTCACCCGCGCGGTGACGTCCCTTTCTGATTTCGGACATCATGCAATCATTGACCCTTCTCTCGTATATCTATTCCTCATATACTTTTCTGATAGACTTCTATGGTTGGTTTAAATGTAATGTAAAATACTAAAACAGATCTGTCTCCTTTAAACATAAAAATATGGGTACAGTATATTTTTATTCTACGACGAGTATATAATAATTGTAAGTTGTAACCAAATCATCAACCCAATCTATAATATTGGTACAGTTATAGAACTAATTTGGAAAGCAACCTGAAGAACAAAGCACTGATAATCTTCATGAAAATATGTAACGATTTTGGGTTTAGGTTTGGGTGGGAAAAATTACTACACAGTATACTACAATTTTTTAAACTCTCCATCCGCTTGGTGTATGCAAGTTGAATGTTGTGTACAGGGCTATTGATAGGTACAATTAAAGTTTCTTTGTTTGTGATGAAGCATATTCAGATTCAAGCAGTAAGGGAAATAATTCAAAAATAAATTTGTGAGGGCCATGTACTCCTTACTCGTTGACACTCCTGAGAATGAAGGTATTATGTGAAAATCCAATAATTAGTCATTTAATACGTCACGTTAATAGTGACACAGGTACGTGTTTTTCTACAATGTCAATCAACAGCTCGATGATTAATAAATACGACTTTATAAAAATATCAATATAACAATTATACAATAGCTATCATAACTCCATATCATGTAATTTCACTATCCTTCATTCAAAATGAAACAGCAATTTATAGTAGTTTGGTGGTAGAGAGAGGTGAGACAGGTATATCCGCTCAGGCTACTTTAAACAACATCTCAATCGGCCTAATATATCCGTATTGTATTAATACTTCTACTAACTATTATCCACGACATCAACAACTTTTTTTTGTGATAAAATAGCTTAACCGTTTTTTGCTCTTCACATTTCATTATCTAATATCTTCACATTAAATTTAATTAAGGTTCGTTCAGTACTTTAGTTATGAAAAGGTAAGTTGCGCATTTACAATGTTAATATGTGAATTTGATTTAAATGAAGAACATGTTAAAAATAAGCAAATTTCAAACTCTAAGTTATGCTGGTACCTATATAGAGAGTTAAATATTACGAGATATAAGAAAAAAAGCTCTATTTATCAACATTAATAGATTCCTAGTTATCAACACCTGCGAATAATTAAAATAATTACTTTAATAACTTCTTCAAATGTCAAACAATACCGAAACCGTTAGCAACTTAGCAAGATCATCAGAGAGATAGGCATCGGTCTTCTTTACAAGTGGTTGGCATATTAATTATAGTAAATATATAAAGAACCCTATTATACGTATGTGGTGTGTTAGTTAGCTGACATTGTATAGTTAATACTGGTACCAACTTAATATTGCGCGCATAAATATTGTCGCACACGACAGCTCCACGCCGCCCGTACACTCTATTGAAGTATGGCACAATATATAGGTTGTGGTTGTTTGATAACAATCATTATAAATTATATATTAAATATATATGAGCCATTACTATACTTATACGTATAATTAGTAAAAATCATGGGATCTACCTCATTTTATGTTTATTCAGTTCCCGATATTTAATTTAAATTTAAAACAGTATATTACTATACTTAAATATAAATCATAATTAGTAGTACATTAGGTGAATATATTATATATAAATTATTGAAAAATAAAACTTTAAAAAATGTAAAGGCTTCTTCTTTAGACGTTAGATAAAAGACGGCAACATAGGGACATGTGAAACACATGTTGTTACAGTCGTCTATAGGCCAACACCAAAGCAACCGGTAACAACATTAACATCAGATGGACTGTATACTTATTTACTAACATTAAGAATGCGCTTCAGTTGAGTTTTCTCATGTCTTTTCTGCATGAGCAGACATTGCGTTCTGAAGGCACAGCCATTTGTTGGTAAAAATAGACGATACAGAATTTCTTGTTATAACAAGCAAAAATGGGAACATTAACATATAAATAATACATATATATATATTGTTATTTTAAACCATTACATTGTAAACAAAACAGAGCAGCCTGTGAATCACGTACGCAGGAATACGCACCTGTCGACTGTCGCAAGGACAGCGCGTAATTTTCGCCCGCCGTGCCGCGGATTAGTTTTTCCTTACGATAATTAAATAACTTTGAGCTATGTTCTCACGTGATGTATGGCCGTGTTTATTGTCTCGTCTCGTATGCGCACCGGGGTGTGTAACGGGCTTTATTTTATTGCCCCTACTCTACACTTATTGCTGTACAATTAACCTGAAAGGGTGTGTACTGCATACATAGTTACAGTCTCTGCCAATTCACTTAATGAAAATGTAAATGTTTTATTAAAATTTCTACGCAACCACTTACTAAAGCATATGCGTTACTAAATAATATACATATTTATTGGAATATTTATAGAATGAAGGTTTATATCAAATGTTCATTAAATCTGGGCTTTTTGTTTAAAAAATAATTGAATGCAACACCAATGCAATGCAATGCATGCAAAAAAATGCAATAACTAGTTCATCCTGTCTTAAACGTAAAGAGATCATGGTACAGATCACACAAGTAGGTACCTATACCTTTTTACTATGACTAATTTCATTGTTATTTTTTACTAAACGCACGTATATTTCATAT